CGCACTCCGACTTCCCCCTCCGGAGACATTTCCCTCCTAGACTCCCGACTTCTCGACTTCCCACTCCCGCCTCCGACTCTGATCCCACTCCCGCCGCCCTTCCCATCCCCGACTCCGACTCCCCCTCCCGCTCCCGCTCCCGCCCGCTGCACCCGACTCCTGACCCCGATTATCCCCCCCCGCGCGACCTTCCGCCCACACGACTTCCTTTCTCCCACGCGCAACTCGCGCGCGATCCCCCGAGTCCAGCAACACCCCCCCGCCATCTCCTCCACTCCTACCACCTCTACCACTACATGCATCAACCCTTCAACCTCCACCATCGTCTCGTTCCCTCCACCTCCTCCCTCATCCGGCGCATCCAGCACACCGCCTCATTCCTCGCCCATCCATGTCAGCCCTCTCCCCTCCCCGCACTCCCAAACCCTCTCCCAACCCATCATGACCACCTCCACCATCCCCACCATCCGTCCCACCTATTCCCAAGCCACCTCGGGGGTTTACCCCGCAATGCCACAGCTCCCCCCCAACCACCTCCTTGAGGACAACAACCAAATCGACCACACCTGCTACGACACCACCCCCGATAACCTCAGCTTCAACACCCTCTCGCAGATCGTTCACCGCGACGGGGAAATCCCCTGTTCCTTCCGATCCGGCGAAATCATGTCCTTCTCCGGCCTCCCCCACGAGGACGTTTTCCTCTTCCTAACCCAGCTCCAGAACTCTTTTCACCTCCACCACATGCCCCTTGCCCACTGGCTGCCCATTGCCACCTCCCTCCTCCTCTGCAATGCCTCCAAATGGTGGATGGCTGAAATCAGCAACCGACGAGCCTCTGGAGGACCACGTCACTCCTTCCTCCAATGGGCCAAACTTCTTGCTGCCACCTTCCGCCCCCAGAAAACCATTGACGGCTACCTCAAACAATTCTGCCACCTCCGCCAAACCGGTCCCACAGACCGCTTCGTCCAATACATCCGCTCCCTCCGCCATCACCTCACCACCGTCATTCCCGACTTTGCGTTCATCTCCCGCATCAAGCGAGTATGCCACAAAGATCTTGCCACCGCCCTCGCCCACGAACCCGACATGCCCCTTGCTGACCTCCTCTCTCGCATGCTTCACCACGATCGACTCCTCCACCCCCATCACCAGTCCGCGCCCGCTCCCTCCTGCCCCCTCTTTTTCCATAACAACACCACTCAACCCACCTCCGATGACGACTTCGACACTGCCTCTCGACCCCTCCCAATTCACCATCGAGGACCTCCAGACCGCCCACCTTATACGGATGGAACGCCAAGATCGTGCCTCTCGACCGCCTTCTTCCTCTCCACCCCGCCGCCTCCAGAAACTCACACCCGCAGAACGCATATACCTCCAGGAACACAACGGGTGTTTTCGTTGCCGCCAGTTAGGTCATCAACAGACCAACTGCCCCAACGCTAGCCACTTTACTCGACCGGCCCCTCGCTCCACGGGACCCGGCCCTTCTACTCCCACTCCTCCCTCCACCTGAACACTGTCCACCCAGTCTTCCATGTCGAGTACCTAAAAGAATACCATGAATCCCCGCTCCAGTTCGCCGACCGCCCATATCCTAGACCTCCACCAATCATGCTACCCACAGGCCCTGAATTCGTTGTCGAAACCATCATCGGCCGACGAACCACTCAGGTATCTGATCATCCGGAACCAATCAGTGAATACAAAGTCAAATGGACCGGATACCCC